GTAACAAATTTAAGGCTTCTAGTATAATAGACATAAAATCTCAGAAGTGTAGATCAGTAAGCATGTCTTCTGTATCACATCTACGAGAAGCCATGCTTTATTTAGCAGTTTTGTAGGATTAATCTTTTGGTAGCACAAAGCTAGATATCTTAGCCATGGCACTGATAATTTTTCCTACAGAAATGTTTTGCAGAAAGCCTTTCAGCCTGGTGGCTTATTTGCATGAAATTTTAGCTGTCTGAAATTTCTCTTCAGATGTGTCCTTTTAGCTTGCAAATATACAAAGTATTATGTCTGGAGTATTCATCCACTGATGCATCATGTTTCCTCCAGCCAATCAGTTCTTTCATTTTCCAGTGCATTGGTTAGTTTTGTGTGTTTTCACAGTAAAAAGAAAACCCGGTGAAAATGTTTTTATTGTTTGTAGCAGAGTCTGTTCCCTAATTTCATCAGCCTTGATAATTCTGCCTACCTTATTAACACAGTAAAGATGTTGACAATTTTTTCTCCTGTTTCATATGAGCTCTTAACAGTAAATATCAGTAAGGAACATGTATTTAACGGGTTCAATTTTTCTCTGAATTTCTAAACCTCAAAAAATATTTATTTGACGTGAATCTGAGGTATAATTCTCTCCTTGATTTTGGATCTTGGCAGTTAAAATCAATTTGATGTTTAGTGCTTTTAAAAAAGCAGCATTATGAAGCATGGGAATAGCTTCTAAGCTGTTATGACAGCATCCATAATCCTGGGGGATATTCAGTTTGTTTACATTGGAAGTATTTTAGCACATTGGAAGTTCTAATAAAACTCTTGGCATTTGTCACCATATCTAGAGCTACATAAGGATCTAATAATTTCTCCAGAGTAGTATACACAGCTGTGTTTAGCCAGTACCATGAGTAAAGCGTGTACACGAGGGAGGGATGTTAAGAACCACCATGACAAACTGAGAACTGCATCTTCTGCTTGGTCATATATGTTCTCAAATTAAAACAAGCAAGCTTAAGAAATCACCTGGTCTTACTTAGATGCCCAAACCTTAGATCTCTAAGTCTAAGCTAGGTGTTCAAGGCTTCCTTAACCATCTACATGGGAAAATACGCATGCAGAATAAGATACATCTCTAGCATGAACCTGATAAACTATCAATGGGAACTACCTCTTTTTATGCCTCAGTTAGAAGCAGAGCACAAAATCAGCTAGGTCTTAGGCTTCTAACTTAGAGATGCCACAAATAAATGAAATAAACTTTAACTCTATTGAACAGATTTGTGAAAACTGCTTTTTACATCTGGGTCTCTGATACACAGTATGTGCAAATCTAGATCCTCACAGGGTCTTCTGAAGATCAGTGGGGGGGATGAATTTTTAGTATCTTAGTCCATGGGTGGTTTAAATCTGCATGCACTAGTATAAGCTTTTAAATTTAGAACTGATAAAGACTTAAACTGTAAAGGTATGAGTGATCTGTCTGGAATTCCCACTTTTAGTCTGTTTGTCCTTTGGCTTATTTTTCTGCCAGACTTTTCTTTCAGCTTTTCCAGGAAGTAAGCTTCTTCATCCCCAAAATGTTTTTGTGATAACAAAAGAATTTCTTTTACAACCTCAGGATAGGCAGTTGACATTGTGAAAGTTTTCAGCACAATAATGATTGTGTTAGCTTGTTTGTGACAATCAATCAGAATATAATGTTCTAACCGACTCTGAATTTTTTCAGATATTGGTTCATTTTTAACATCTCTCTTGTTAGCTTGAATTATGAAGCTAAATATAATTCCAAACCGAGGAACCAGAATTTGTATTTTGATAAAAGAAACTGGATCAAAAAAATGTCAATGCAGTCTTTCAACAAATTGTTAATTTTCTGTGAACAAAGCACATCAACCCCAAAATACCCAACCGGTTTTATTGACTATCATCTTGTTTTCCAGTACACAGGTGTTTGACATCCTATTCTGAGCTGGAGATAATAAAAGCTCTGTCCTACTCTGCTGTCTTTGATTGTCCAAAAAAAGACTGTGTGATGGTAACAGACACCAATTCTTTACATGCTGTCAATGTACCTTGTGAGGATGTACTGCCTGCTAATGAAAGACAGAAAGGGAAAGCAGAGTAGAAAATAACAACAAAAGATCTCACTAGATGCAGAAACTGAATCACACAACAGAAATGCACAGAGATCAAGGATCTTGCAATCAGTCAGACACAAACTCATTACTCTCATAACTGCAGGTTGTTGCTTCCATTCTCAAACAGGCAGATACACACAACAGACTTAGAGAAGCTATAAATACAGGATAAATCTAAACTGATCTAGCTAGGCTTCATTAGCTAGGCAAGAAGACAGATTGTCATAAAGTCTGATTTCCTGATATTTTTATAGGCAAAAGCTGCTTGGGAAGTAACATGCTTTTGAGGCACTGACAGCTGTGGATTGAACTGTGGTCTCATGTATATCTGGAATGCATTTTTCATGTCCGGATTCTTGTACCTCACTGTACAACCTTAGGTTATCTAACAGATTGACCCTTGGAGCGAAATTAATTTGATCCCATATATACTACTCTGTGGGAAGTTTGCAAGAAATCTAGCAAAACGTGGTGATAAAAGCTTTATAAATGAAGTTAGAGATAGGTAGACAAGATAGATAGGCTGGGTTTAACTTTAGTGGATGCAATAAGACATTTTCAAGGACAGAAATAACAGTGTTTAGGCAATATCTGTGATTACCTATGCTGAGAGAAAAAGGATAAAGGCCTGACAGTGAATATATTCAGTGAAGATTCTTATCATCAATTGACTTTTAGCAGTCAAAGTGAAGGTTATGCAATGTCTGCAAAGATGAGTAGGTGACACAAACCTTGAAAAAACAGTCTGTAGCCTGAAGGTGTATTCAGTCTCAGATCTTGTTTCAGGGTGAGTTTCATTCAGGGGAAAAAAGATATCTTCAGAACACAAATATCATATGCTAGTATTTCACAGGGTAACAACGCCTTCTTTAGTTCAGTAATATGGGTAATTTCCTCCCTCTTATCTCCTTACAAATTTTAGAAGAGCAAAACTGTAAGCAACCTGGAAAACTCCCAAAACAAAAGAACAAAAAAACCTCCTTTGCTACTTGTTTCCTGGCTTATGTGAATTTGAGGTTTGTTAATCATTAGCAAAGGTTAAGTATGCTTTTGTTACTTAGCAACCATGATAAGTTTTTCAAAGTTTTATTTCAGATTTGATGATGTATTTATCCTTGTTTTTCTCTGCTCCTTTTCTTCTCACTGGAATTCAAACTCAAAAAATTTGAATGCAGCCAGACATCTGAACTCACAGTCTTTGCTTCTACCTGCTTGCAATAAACATGGAAAATCAGAATTGAAATACAAAGCAGAGCAAAAGAGCCATTGCTATCTCATCTACATGGAGATCTATTAGCTGGTTTTCAATTTGTACTGTGATGGCTTAGGCAAAGAAAATAACCTAGAGCAAATCCCAAGGGTATTTTTGGTCTTTGTTTTATTTATTTTCCTTTTCAGATGTAGTGGAGCTTTGTGCTTTATCAGTTTCAACCTAAAAATTGAAGCCTGAAATGAGTGGCATTTTCAAAATTAATTCTGAAAAGTGTGCTTAATTTGGGTATTCATTAAAATATTAGTCCTGCTGTGTTTAGGTTAAACTCATGTATATTTTAACTTCAGATGAATATTTAACCTAATGCAATATGAACTATAAAGCTTGCGCGCCCAAAGGCTTACCTGTTATTTCCATGTCAGTTACTGTAATAAAAGATGTTACTTGTCTCTAAAGCCTTTGCTTTGCTTCTCCATTTTGCAATACTAAGTTGACATCCTAACTTAGCTAAAATCAATGGGAACTTTCTATTGAGTTTCCTGGGGTCAAAATTTTACTCTGAAAGTGAAAAAAAACAAAATCAATTGTAAAAACCCTCATACCCTGAAGATGTGAAAAGTTGAAGTAGCCAGCTGTCACAACTGCTAAGCTCTTGTTTCTTCTGGAAGCTGTAGAGCACAACATGCACATGAACTGCAAACTGCCAAGGCCTCTGGCTGCCTGGGAGATTCATTCTTGGGAGCTGGTAGAGCAGAAGCTACATGTAAGTTGATAGTTCCCATTGTACTTTTTAACATCAATTTTGTTCAGCAACCATTGTGAGCACAGTTTGTACAGGGTGTTACAAATGTACTGGTGTGGTGAAACATATGCTTATTTTGGATTTTTTACTGTACTTGTAACACATCTATTTCTGCTCTTAGCCATGGGGTGAGACTGAAGAAATACTGGAAGCCAAGAAGCATGATTGTTTGACTATGTCCCGCGTCTTGGTCCATCCCGGAATGTATTGTTCCAATTAGGGCAAGAATGAAATTCAGACTCTCAGGCATCCAACATGAAGGTGGATTCCACTTATCAGGGCAAACCAATCAGCCTGTTTCAAATGCCCGTAGATATCTGAAAAGCTCTGGAACAACAGGTGAGTTTATATTCACAGGATGAGGAGTATAAAAAAGGTTGAACTGGAAGGACAGGAACAGCTTTTGCCAAACTCCTTTTATTTTCCTCTCTTTGGGAGAAGATTTTTGTTCTTCATCTCCTATGAGCAAAAAGGCAACTGCCTGAGCCTGATGTCATGGGAAGCAATGGTGAAAATCAACAAATGTTGGTACAGGCAGAAAAGAGTATATGTCTTGGTCTCTACCTGAGGCATTCATGAGCCTAGTTTGGGCCCTAATGATTCTTTCTTCAACCTTCCCACTCTAGAAATGGCTTTTAACTCTCCACTCTGCCTTGATGCAGAGCAAAGGCAGTGTGATTGGTTTTCAAAGGGAAAAATCCCTGATGAAGCTCAGAGCACAGGCACAGAGAAGAAGCAGCAGGCTCCAGAAGGCACTAGCATGGGGCAGGCACCTACTGCTGCCTCCCAGCCACAGCTCTTTCGGCAGTAGCCCGCAGAGGCTGACTGCTTTGCAGAGACATGTATGCCTCACCTCTGTGTTCTTGAAGACCAGCTGCTGTGCCTGCATCTCTTTTCAAAGCCTGGGAAGCTTCAGGCAGGTGTCCACACTTCTCGTTCCTCCCTGAACAGGACTTTAGCTCCAGGAAAACAGAGAAATATCTAAGGGGTGGGGCATCTACACGGGAGGTTCTTGTGTAATTCCGGGAGTGGAATGGCCCCAGATGGGTGCTGCATAACCCACGCTGGTTTGTCCATCAGTGTTGTTACCCCAGTATTCATTGCATATGTCCAGAAAACAGACACTTTCAATGTGCTACTGTTTTTCTTCTACGCAAGAATATGTTTTCTAGATTTGAAAGTGCATTTCCCAGAGTTTCCCAAATTTACTTTCAGAAACAGCAACTGACATTTCCTTAAAAAATAATAAAGGGGGAGGAGAAAGAAAGCCATCCCTGAGCTGACAGAATGCAACAGTAGGAGGCAAGCATTCAGCTGGCAGTTACTTACTTCCTGGCATGCAATTTTAATTAAGGAGTCAGCATGTCTGCTACACAAGCCCACAGGAGGCAGTAACTAAAAATGACTGGGAAAATGTCCATGGATAAAAAGGTAGGAGAAAGAAACAATGACACTGTATTTCAGGAAGCTAATTGAATATGTTCATCTCTACATTTCTCTAGATAAGACTTATGACAAAAGGAAAAGTAAGCATAAATTGCTGTATCACAGACACAGATGAACACCTATTTTGCAGCGTATATTAGAGATTCACTATTGATCCAAGATAATTCAAAGCAGCATCCTTTTTCTTTTTTTCAGGTAGGTCTGTATTTGCACCCATTTTCAGATCTCTGCAGTAAGGTTTTGTTTTTCTTTTTATGCTAGAGACATCACATTCAAAGCATTTATGTCCTTTACTGAGCCTAGTGAATAAGAAGCAGAAATTACCTGCTCAGGACTTGTGTTCTGAGATATCAAGTCATATTTTTAAACTGAAGCCAGGTCAGAAATCTTTCTTTCCGTAGACCACAGCTGTAGTGGTTACCTAGCTGTGTAAGTCAGCAAGTAGATTGCTTTAAATCACTATCAGTAATTTTTCATAAATACGTATTTTCCCCGGTATGATGATTTTTTTCTTCTTCTCACAGAGCCAATCATCAGGACATAGAGGCTGATTCATATCCTGTACTTTCAACAAGCATTATTGATCATACAAATATCTTTCCAAAGAGGTACTGTGAAATCCTGTGTAGAAATCTCACCACTGGCTCTCACTTTCTCCACTGGTAAATATTCAACTGCAACATTGAGGAATAAAAAGGAGGGAGCTCATGTATCTGCCTTGTTTTATATCTGCACACATCAATCTGAAACGTCTGGGACTAAAAATAATTTGTGAAGTAAAAGCAAATTAATGTGATATGACAAAATTATAGCTACAGGTTCTGTGGAGAAAAGAAATGGTCAGCTAATCTCAGGCTTTCTGTCTTTCTGTCACTTTCACTTATTAAGAGGTCTTCGGCTAGCAGGTATATAATTTTCTTCTGGTTAAATAACTTGCTGGGTGAATGTTGGGAAAGAGCAATGAAGTCAGATGACAGAATCAAAAACTCTTTAAAAATTTTTTTTTTTGTTAAGCTTTTTTTTTTTTTTTTTTAGTGCCATTTGATGGGCTCATTATGGGAGAATCTACCTTGGGGTGAAACACTGATCAGTCATTAATGAGTTTCACCCTCCTTCTGCTGAACTGCCTTTGTGAGTCGGGACTGATGAGATAGTGTTAGGAACAAGCTGGGACCACAATGTGAGGTGTGTGAGGCTCTACACATCTTTGTTCTGTTTCTCAGCAGCCCCAGAGACCGTATCAAAAAGATTTTAATATCATTACTTAGGATTTTGATGTCTTGCTCATATGAACAAAATTTATAAGAGGGGTTATTTCTTTTTTCTTTTTGTCTTAAACTAACCTACAGGGAGACATTTTCTTTTCTCCTCTTTTACTGAGCAGAGGAGAAAATATCCTTGATTTTTTTCTCATAACCCTGAGAAATTGAGACAGATAGAATATCCTGAAAATTTCTGTAATTTAAACCAACTGACAATGATCACTTCAGGAGCTGTAAGTTCCCTGAAAATTGCCATAGTTTCCTGACTTCTCCTACCTGTCCTAGAAAATGCCCTAAAGGAACTGCAGAAAGGGATGAATAAAGATCCAGTAATAAGCTCTGTATCACTGCGGCATTCCCGGGAGAGTATTTGTAACCAAAAAATGGATAAGGCAATAGCAGTAACTAGGGCTGTGAAGTTTTGCTCCCAGACCACAGCCATGCCATCCATGGGTCAGGGTCTTCACAGCCCAGCCATCCTCTGCAACCTGCCCTCACCAGTGGAGAACTCTGGGTTGATGGCATTTGCCACAAGGTTTAACCATCTGATGTTTCTTGGCCTTTAGGCAGTTTTAATTTGCAACAGAAGAACCAGTTCAACTAATCACTATATTGCAGACAGCATGGTTCCTGGCTCCATGGCAGGCATAGTATTTTGATATGGATGAGCTGTTCTTTAATTTATTTGTGATAGAAAGTTCAAGTAGTCCTCTGTAGGCATCAGAGCATGGTTACATTGTGAGTGTCTAAACATGAGCCCCAAAACATGTTCATTTATTGAACTTCATGGGCAGCAGCTCACAGATGATGCTTCCTCCTGCCGAGGACTGCAGGAAGAAACCCAGGCCTTCTTGGGCCTTGGTGGGGGCAGAGAAGAGGTCCTGTACCCTCTCAGCTCCCAGGTGCTCCCTGCCTTCTCTGCTCACAGCTTGTGCTTAGAGGAGAAAAGCTGGGAAAGAGAAAAGAGCCCAGATCTTGTAATGCCAGGAAGGCAGAGAGGTGTGTGATAAAGGAAATAAAATTTGTAGGACCGGAAATGCATGAAACAAAAGCCGATCTCTCCCTCTAAGGCAAGGTTAGGAGTCTGCTGGAGCCTGGGGGTAAGAAGAGCACTCCATTAAATGCATCACTGGTGATGGACATCCAGCAGGGCTTGGAGAAGGCTTCCCAATAATCTGTGTATACTGATTTTTAACTTAAGGCATATCCACAACATTAACGAAATTATAAAGAAAATACTCCCTGACAAACATTAGTGGCCTTTTGGACTTTTCTAATGGAAAAGCGATCTAGACTTAAATTTATAAAATTTAAAGTGAATGTGCAAAAGCTATTTCTTCTTTTTCCACATCTGGTGTCACCCTTATCTCCAATTTGACGCTACTAAAATATCCCTTTCCATGGTGTTACACAAACTCCGCTGCTTATTTCAAATTGCTTTCCCAAACTCCTTACCATGAAACATACTATTTTGGGGGTATATAGCAACAAACCATATCTGCCTCTGGATCAGAGCCATTAAATACTTAAATATTGATTCAGGTTATTTTTGTTTAAGTGTATTGTTAGTACAAAGTGTGTAACCAGCCTAGAGGCTGGCCAAGAATAGAAACAAAATCAAAACACACATGAGGGACAGGGAGTAAAAAAACCATGAGAACAGGAGAATAATTGCCTCTGGCCATCATTTCACAAGTTTTAGATGAGTTTTTGAAAAAATAATTAACTAATATTCCTCCTTACTTATGTAGCTGCAGTCTTTGTGAGGAAAGCATAAACAACTGAGTGAGATGGCCTTGAAGCTTTTAAATGTCATCTCTGCTACTGAGAGTATCCCGTTTTAGAGGTACTTAGGCTTGTTTTTAAAGCATTCATCCTGTCTGGCATCTGAACCCCCTACAGGACAGGTGGAATTTAAAGAAACGAATATCTTGGGCTTCAGAGTAAATTAATAATAAATAGAAAGAGAAACACTTGGGTAGGTTCCCAAACATGTTGAACAAATTAAGATACTCTTGGGTATATCCAGTTTATGTTATCTGTAAATTTTAACTATAAAACCGCAGCATTAAAAGCAAAATTGACTTTATCTTACTTGGTATCATTGGCCACTATCCAGTGAAGCACTTACACATTGTTAATTTTAAGGACATGATGCCCTGGTTTCAAGCCAGAGTACCCAGCAGCATATTGGAACAAACCAGTGATAAGCAGTTTGACAAGCCCTGCAACAAATACTGTCCTGCTGCTTCTTAAAGACACCTACATGTAGTTGATTCAAACATATTATTTTAGCAATATGCATTGAAGAGACACCAAGTTTATTCTTCCCACACACACCTTTTTTCAGTGCTAAACACAGTTAGCAGAATTGTTGCTCTCTCTGCAGTCTAAAATCCAGACAAATAATAATTCACTTCTTCTGAATCTGTATTTGATAAAGAGAACAGAAAAAAAGGGAGTGGTAATGTGCATTTCTGTGATGTCAAATTTTTGTTGCTGCTGTTGCCAAAACATAGCCACAGCTTGTCAGATTGGGATTCCTGGAGATTCTGTTTGTGAATATATATTTAGCTCTTCCACTGTGTTATGAACATGTTATTATATTTTCACATCTGTTGTTTGCTTACCATAAGTGCCAGCAGTTGCTTTTTCTTCCCCATACCTTTTTCGAAGTAAAAGGATACTTTGGCATCAAGCTTCAACCCAAATGACCAGAATACAACAAAAATGGACCCTGCCACAGAATTTCAATTTATTTCCAGCAAAACTCACTATTTAGAATATCTTCTTTTTGAATACAGAGCAATGAAAGAACTATGCTCTTTACACCCACCATCCAGCCCATGGATGCTAAGGGTTGGTAGTGTTACATGTATTAAAGGGTAATCTTATATGTCCAGAATTTCTAAGGGCAGGCAAGACGGATTATTTGATCAGAAGTCACCTTTAGGCTTTAAGTTCTGCAAGTCATGTTAATAGTATTTCCATTCAGTGGCTGACCACATAGCACAATCTTAAATTCTTAGCAGTATTTCTTCCTATGATACAAAGACATGGGTTTGCCACAAAATGGGACTGTTTATTTAAACTATATTCTATTAATAAACTACATTTATTTACAGGACAGTGTCTTAGTCGGCAAGACCCTTTCAGATGGTTATTTCTACTATGGCCAAGTTCTCTTTGTACTACATCTTCAAGGGATGTTTCAAGAGACAGTATCTTAAATAAGTCATAACTCTTTC